AGGGAGGGAGAAGGGAGGGAGAAGGGAGGGAGAAGGGAGGGAGAAGGACTGCCAGTAAGCCAGAAGTGAACTGACTATTAGAAATCATGAGTGAGTATTTCTAAAGTGGAGTCACTATCCACTTTGTTTGACCCTTGCATAGTGAGGTAATTTAATTTATGGAGTCTCTTTCCAGTATTGAATGGGACAGAAAATTTGGTTTAAAACGGTGTCTGCTGGGACCACAACAATTTGTTGAGTACTTTTACTGGTCATGACGATGAGTAATCAATTATTTTGAATTATGCATAATTAAAACTAATTAAATTTCAGTGTAAAATGGTGCAGAATCCCATTACAGTGCGATCTTTGCACTTCTGGACATTACCCAAGTGACACTAAAAAGCAGCTTATGCTTGAAACTAAAGGTTTTATTTTCTGCATATACAAGGTACCTTTGACATAGAAATATGTAACACAGTTCAAAAGACAACTATTTCTTAATATGCTTCAAATTGCCTTTTAGATTTCCTTCACCTTGGTCTGACTGCAAGTGGTTTAGGGAATGCAGCTGGAGAGAAAGCAGAGTGTCCCAAATTTAGAACTGGACTTGAAACATTAACTCTGCTTTTCTCCATTGATGCTGCCAGATCTGCCGAGGTCCTCCAGCAATTTCTGTTTTTGTTTCAGATTTCCAGCATCAGCATTTTTAGTTTGGTTTGTGTAAAATATCAGTTAAAGCATATTCTACAAAAATTTTAAATAATAAATGTTACAGAACTCATTTAAAGTTTTTCTTTAAGTACCTGCGTAATTTAGTAATAATTTAGTTTTCACACGTTCGAAACTCTTTTGCATCTGTGTTTTCTGGGACAAAATTCAGGAGTCTTTTTATTTGATTACATAGTTATTTTGAAATAAGTCTAACAACCTGTTCTATATTGCTGATCAATGATTTCCTTTCCATTTCCATGTTTCTTATTATTAGTTCCAATTCTTGCTTTGCTTTCAGCTCCTCACAGTACTGCAACTCCTTTTTTTGAAGCTGTTCACGGCTCTTTTCATATAACATTTCTGCAATCTTCCGTTTCTCCTCCTCTTGTTTCAGACTAAATCTTCATTCAAAAACATTAATGATCATTAGATACAAGAACTGTAATGTAAATAATATCAATACACTTCACAAATTCAATCAGATTCTGTTTTGTATACATTATACCGTCCCTGCGAGGATAACCAAAAAGCTTGAAAAAGGTTATTCTACAGATCATCATCCTACAAACAGTGGAGAATATTATTGTCTTATTAAATGACCCAAGATAACAGGCTTGTTTCTCCCCTATATTTCAGTGTAACTGATACCAGGATCATTACCAGTCTTCATAAGATGCAAAATGCTTTGGGAACATCTTCAAAGCATGAAAAGGCCCTATATAAATACAACTGCTTTCAGGAATTTGGAGGCATCTTGAAGAATACTTATTTGTCATTACCTTAACATTGCATAGGAGGAAAATGCATTTTCTACTGCTTAAAATAAATGAATGGGAAACTGCAGGGCTTTTGATATGCATTTATTTGGATATGAGGCACTTTTCTAAGGGTTGAGATTCTTAAATACCCACTATGTATTGTGCTGAGTGTACGGAGACTGAATCAATATTGCCTAAGCTAATGATTAATTTTGGATGAAAAATTTAATGGCACTCATCTATCATTTCAGTTTCTTCCAAAAGACAGAAAAAAGGAACTATTGTAAGAAGCGAACAAGTTTTTTTGATATCAAGCTTTATGAAATAATGACAAGCCTAACATTAATTGGTTAAGGAAAAAGGTGAATACAAATTTACATGAAATCAAGACAAATGCGAATGGTTTCAAATACATTTACTGACTAATGACAACAGTACACAAATTTGAGGGGGAGGGCTATATTTAAATAGAAGGAAGGCATCAGGTGGGAACCTAGCCAGCTTCTTGTCTCTGGTTTGGTAAAGTCCAGGGCAAGTCACTTGTGGATGGTCTGCAGCCAATTGATACCTTTAAGTTGGCAATTAATGCTCACTTATGGGTCACGTCTGACTATTGCTGGTGGACCTGTCACACAGAGGGCCTGAAAAGAAAATCCTTGTTGGTGTTTGCTTGAGGGCTTGATGTTAGGCACTCAGCGTTACATTGAAGGACACAGCAATGGGAAATGCAGACCATATGCTGAAAGCCACCTCCACTGCCTTATATCCTTGTTTTTGTTTTGATCCTTCTTCCACCCACAGTCACCCTTTGCTTGCATCTCTCGCTGATCTTGGTTGGTAGCTCTTAGGGAGGGTGGCATTTCTGTCCCTGGAATCCTTAATTCCAGGAAGGCTTGCCACTGGCCATTCAAGTGTGTTACTGGCACTTCATATGGCAGGGCTTTCCCAAGGGCAGCAACATAGGACTCTTACCAGCTTTATAGCCAGCTAGCAAGACCTTTGCTGTAACTCTGATTTTGGACATGTATCAAAACTTAAAATCGATCGAGATGTAGAAAACTATAACAAATAGTATATACTAGAACATTACTTGACACTATTAAAGTCAGTATCTCTCTCCATTTTCTGGCACTCCAGTTTGGATTTCATTTCTCTAGTTTTGTCCAATGCTTGATGGAGCTCTTTTCGTTCATTCTCCAGATATTTTACTTTTTCTGAAAGTAAGGCATAACGTTTCTTTTCTCGTTCAACTGCTCGCTCATATTCATGAACCAGATTTTGAATTTTCAGTAAACTTATGGAGTCTGTAATTGGAAAAAAGACATATTATAAAAATAAATTATTTCACTAATTCATTTGACAGAACATACAATTAATCAAAAAGTTAAAATTGACTAAAATCGACACCATGTATGATGCATTGCATTTATTTGTTTCTCAAGATAGGTCACAGAATGAAAATTTAAGAACAGATTGAATTCCAGCAGGGTAATGAAACGTCTGCGGAACAACAAACCAGCTCGGCAAGCCAACCAACCTCAACAGATTGAATTCCGTCACAAATAGACTTTTTTGTTTGATAATTTCTTGCATTATTCATACATATTTCTTACTTGCCTGGTATTAAGTTTTCAATTATAATAAAAATTCCATAATCTAGGTAAAAATTGAAGCTGGCAAGATTCATTCTTATTTGCTTATTGTAACCCCTCCTCATAATAAGGGGAACAAAGTTGAACAGTACCATCGGCCAACTTTGCATACAACGCACTAAGTCTCCAAATGAAAGCAAAATAAGAGAAAGAAGAAGGGTCTGAAGAAGGGTCTGAAAAAGGGTCTAGGCCGAAACGTCAGCCTTCCTGCTCCTCTGATGCTGCTTGGCCTGCTGTGTTCATCCAGCTCTACACCTCGTTATCTCAGATTCTCCAGCATCTGTAGTTCCTACTATCTCTAAGAGAAAGAGGATTCTGGATTTACCCTCCTTACCTATTGCCTCTGTATCCAGCTGTGCAATTAGCAATGGAGTATTCTTATACGCAGAACTAGGAGATTCTGATCCATCTGTACCAGTATCAGAGGACTGTGTGAGATCATCCAGATCATCAGAAATATTTACTGGTCTAGTGAACTAAGAACAGGTAAACAGAAAATTGGAATTGTGAACATATCAATAAAGTGAATAACTACTGTACAGTAAAACGTAGCATTGGAAACACTGAACAGGTTAAGTAGTAGTTGTGAAGAGAAAGACCTACTGTTTCAAATTAACGGCCTTTCAGTGGAATAGGAAAGTGGAACAGGGAAAAAAAGCTAATTAAAATGGCATAAGGGCAAATGAGGTGATAATGAAACAAGGACAGAAACCTGTTATTTGTAAGTGAATTATGTTTAAAAAAAAGTTTATCTTTACTATCATTCAGTTCTGAATAAAGTTCGTTGACCTGAAACATTAGACTTGCTTTTACTGATTGGCTTGAAATCCCTATATTTGTGGTCACTTACGAGTATAGGCCTGCATGCATGAGTAGCAGAACATCTGTAGGTATACTGTATAACACAGTTGTTTCTTGAAAAGCCTGCAGAGGATGGTGATGGGCAGGAGTTACTGCCATCCCCTCCTTGCTCTTGTACTCTACATCCCTTTTAATAAAGCTGAGAACACTGCATTCCTTACTTCCTGCTCTCTCTACCTGTCCTGACAACTTCAAAATCTGTGCACATACACAACCAAGTCCCCCTGAGCCTGTACCCTGTTTAGAATCAGACCTATTTTATATTGTTTTACAATGTTCCTACGACAAAAAGAGTATCACCTTATTCTTTTCTGCCACCTATGCACCAACTCCATCAACTTGTCAGTGCCCTTTTGAAGTTCCACACTACATTCCTCACAGTTAAAAATTCTTCCAAGTTTAGTGTCATCAGCAAATTTGGAAACTGTCACCTGCACAGCAAGATCGAAATCATTAAAATTTATGAGGAAAGGCAAGGGTCCCTACACTGACCCCTGGTGAACTTCACTACAAACTTTCCTCCAGTCCAAAAAAAATCCATTGATGATTACTCTCCACTTTCTATCACTCAGCCAATTTAGCATCCACACTGCCATCGTCCCTTTTATACCACTGCCTACAAGTTTCTTCACAAGTCTGTTATGAGGCACTATATCAAATGCCTTCTGGAAATCCACGCATACCATATCAAAGTGTGATCCTCATGAACTCTTTCCATTACCTCTTCAAAGAACTCCAACAAGTTAGCGAAACAAGATTTCCTCTTTATAAATCCATGTTGGCTGTTCCTAATCAACCCATAATCTTTCAGGTAACCATGAGATTCTCTCTCGAATAACTCTTTCCAAAAGATTCCACACTACCGAAGTTAAACAAATGGGTCTTTAATTGCTGCAATTATTCTTACAACTTTTTTTTTTCCCTGAACAAGGCCTTAATTGTGGCATTTCTTCAAACTTCTGGCACCTCCCCAGAGTCCACGGAATACTGAAATATTGTAGCCAGTGTCTCCACATGTTCTACCCTGACTTCCTTGAAAATCCTTGGATGCATATTTTGTCTGGCCCCAATGCCTTGTTAACTTAAGAGCCAACAATTCATTCATGACTTAGTAAATCCATCTTCCTTGTTAATTTCAAACCCTTCCAGTGACAGTTTCTTCCACTATCAGCATGGCCTGGGCAGCAACCTCATTTTTTTTGTAAAGACAGGTGCAAACTATTCATTTAATATCTCAACCATGCTCCTGCCTCCAGCTGGAAATCCCCTTTTTGGTCTCTGATCAGTCCTCTTTTAACCACTGTTACTGTTTATATGCCTATAGAAGACTTTGGGATTCTTCTTTATTAGACTGCTAGCCTTTTCTCATACTTCATCTTTGCGTTTCTTATTTGTTTTTCATCCCACAAACTTCAGTACTCTTGATTTTCAATTGTATTTTCTGCTTTATAGTTGTTAAAGTACAGTTTTTCTTTCCAATATTAATTTCTACCTCCTTTATCATCCAGGGAGCTCTGGATTTGTTTGCCCAACATTTCCCATTAGAGGAAATATACCTTGACTCTACCCAAACCATCTGCTCCTTGAAGGCAGCCCATTATTCAGTGACTGATCTTCTTGCCAACCTCTTATTCCAATCAATCCTGCTTAGCTTTGGTCTAGTCCAAATGAAGTCAGCTGTCCGCTAACTGGTTTTTCTTGCTCTGGGTTGTTGTCTGTCATTCTTCAACACTAACGTGAACCTTTGAGTCATATAGTAGCGAAGAGGTACTTCAGCCCGTCAAGTCTGCAACGACCTATTCACACTAATCCCACTCTCCAGCATTTGGCCCATAGCCTTGTTAAGTGTTAGCCTTGAGCTCTGGATTGCTAGTCCAATGAAGTTACCTCCCCTCCCAAATGAACATTTGTGTCCGGTGTAATTGCATGGCAGATTTAGTGTTTCATGTCAATTATATAAGCAATCTGACTCATTGGCAGCTAGAAACTGAAAGCAAAACTTCGAATACCTGAACATTTCAAGCCTGATACAAATTTCTGGCTATTAGCTCTTAAAGTTTATAAAACTGAATGCAATTGACTCTCAATTCACTGTGTGCAGTGTAAACCAATATATATTTTGAGCTGAGCTTCTGTAAATGCAAATTCACTATATGCTCAGAAGATAGACAATTACCTTTTTACTTGCAGATGACTTGAAAGGTCTGAAAAAGATATTTAAGGCGGCAGAGTGAACATTAAATTGTGAATCAAGTTCAAATGTAACCTGTTATGTCAAAAAATAACACAATTTATTTTGTTCATAATTTAGCAGAGGATGTTAAAAAGATTTTTTTCAACTTGTCATGGATCAGCGATAGCATTCTCACCTGAGTTTCATTCTAGAAGCTTAAGCAAAAATCTAGGCTAAATAACCAAGTCTTTTGTTTTCCAAGTAAACTCTCACATCTGAAATAAAAGGATTCAAAACTGCTTTCTGTTTTGAATGCCAACTAAAAGAGATGCTCTCACTTTCTCTACAAACAACAAATGAAACAGAAATTCAAGCAAAATTAAAATATGCAGCTTCTGCAAATACATTTAATCAGCAATAAAGTAAAATTGCAATACTGAGGGACAGAGGGATCTGAGGGCTCAGGTACATGAAAAATGAAAATTTAGTAGGCAGTTACAGCAAGTGATTAGGAAAGCCAGTGGAATTCTGGAATTTATAGCAAGGTTAATACAAAATGTAAAAGTAGGGGATGTTTTATCACAGACACAGAGGGCATTGGTGAGTCATTTATTGCCCAGAGGGCAGTTAAGAGTCAACCAGCTTGCTGGGGGTCTGAAGTCCCTCATAGGTCAGACCAGGCGAAGATGGCAGACTTTGTTCCTTAAAGGACATTGTGAGCCAGATGTTTTTCTTCAAAATGACAATTGACATTGTCACTGTTTGTTTAGTTTTTTTTTAAACTGAATTTAAATTTCACCACATTCCATGGTAAGATTCAGGATATGGCCCCAGAACATTACTCTGGAGTTTTGTATTACTAAGCATATTAACTCTATGCCATCACCTCCCTTTTCAGTATTGAAGCAGGTAATGGCGAGCGAAGAAGAACACAGATTAAGTAGAAAAATCAGCAAGTACGGAAACATGTCACCTTGAAATATATGATGCTTTATGGAGTAGAAGAATCAGGCAGTAAGTGAGAATAAAAAAAAGTTAGGCCATTCAAGAAAAGCACCAAGATAAGGCATCAAATTTTAATAGTCATTTTGTTCCATTTAAAAATAAAAGTTCAATACTCGTTTCTAACCAAGAGATCAACATATTTTGAGTTAAGATCTGTTTAGGTGAGTAATTTAAAACACAAAGTAAACCTCTCAGACTTCCTGAGTTCAACAACCTAACAACTCATCAGCCTTCAACGTCTGGAATTTTGTGACTCAAATAAATCCCAGTAAGCTTATGTTATTATTCCAGAGAACATTGCAAGAAACCTGTTCAGCTAAAACTTGTAAATTCAGTTTTTTTTTAAACCATTGTTATTTTCATTATGGATGTAATATCCAAATGTCTCACTGGAAATGACAAGTCCAAAAATTAAGAGAATCAATGGAAAATTGCTCTACTTCAGGAGATTATTCGGAATTCTGCGAGATGCTCAAATAGGGCTCCGTAATGAATGAATTAAATACTATGCATTTCATTTCAATTCCAGTAAAAATGCTTACAGACACAAAACCTCTGAGCTGGAGTAGACTCTTCAGCCCTTTGAGCTTGACCCATCATTCAATATGATCGTGGTTGTTCCTCTATCTCAATGCCATAATTCTGCTATCCCCCCAGACCCCTTGATGCCATTAAAGTTTAAAAACATATCTCTTTTTTGAATATAGTCTGAAACCTTGACTCTACAGCCTTCTGTGGTAGAGAATTCCACAGCTCATCAGCAAAATTAAAGAGCTGGTCATTGACTTCAGGAAGCAAGGTGAAGAGCAAGGGCATACCCGATGTCTACACCAATTGTGCTGAGGTGGAGATGATCGAAAGCATCAAGCTCCCAAGAATGATAAACACCCAAGTTGATGCTACAGTCAAGAAAGAAAAACACCTCTACTTCCACTAAGGAAATTCTGCTTGTCCATAAAGACTCATCGATTTTTATAGATGCACCATAGAAAGCATTCAATCCAGATGCAACACTGCTTGGTACGGCAACTACCCGGCCCAGGACCATTAAATACTACAAACAGTTGTGAACATAGTCCAGTCCTTCACACAAGCCAACCTTACATACATTGACAAAAACAGAAGTTGCTGGAAGCTCAGCAGGTCTGGCAGCATCTGTGAAGAAAAAAAATCAGAGTTAACATTTCGGGTTCAATGACCCTTCCTCAGAACTGCTTCCAGCAGCTTCTGTTTTTGTTCCTGATTTACAACATCTGCAGTTCTTTTGGTTTTTACCAATGTCCATTGACTCCATCTATACCTCTCACTGCCTTAGGAAGGCACGCAACATAATCAAAGACCCCTCCCACCCCAGTTATAATCTCTTCCAACCTCTTCAGTCAAGCAGAAGATAAAAAAAAAGCTTAAAAACACATACCAACAGATTCAAGATCAGTTCTTCCCCACTGTTATCACCCGAATAGACCTCTCAAATTTTAAAATTTAAATGCTAAAGTTACTGTATGTGCACCTTCTCTGCAGCCATAACATTGTATTCTTTGCTCTGTTCTATTACCCTAATGCACTTTGCATGGTATGATCTGCCTGTATCGCATGCAAAATAAAACCTCTGTACCTCGATACCTGTGACTCATGACACTTTGACTGAAGAAATTTTTCCTCATCTCAGTCCTAAATGGCCTACCTCTTAGCCCAAGACTGTGACCCCTGGTTCTAGACTCCCCACCCAGGAGAAACATCTGTGTATCTAGTTTGTTTAGCCCTATCAGAATTTCATATGCTTCAATTAAATCCCCTCTCAACCATCTAATTTCTAATGAATATATAGGACAGTCCTTGGTATCAGCTGACTGAATCTCTGCTGCACTCTTCTGCTTCCCTCCATTTCACCTGACGAAGGAGCAGCACTCCGAAAGCTTGCAATTTCAAACAAACCTTTTGGACTGTAACCTGGTGTTTTGTGACTTCTGCGCCCCTATCAGTGTCATGTTTAACTGCAGCAAGACATCCCCATTTCTGAATTTAAATATCTGTAACAAAGGCCAATATACCATTTGTCTTCCTAACTGCCTGTTGCACTTGCCTATCTACTTCATTGTCTTATGTTCAAGGACACCAAGATCCCATCAAACACTCAGATTTTCCCAATATTTAAATAATACCCTTCCTTTCTATTTAACTGTTATCTAATATACCATTTCTTTTTCAGAGTTTTTCCAATACAGTTTCCCAGATCTGTATCTACCTCTCTTGCCAGTCCCTTATTGCTTTTCTCCAATCGGGTTTCTACACTTCCCATGCTACTATAACTGCTCTCAGATTAATGAATATCATCCTGTGACTTGACTAATAAAGTATGTTATTCCCTCCTTAATAACCTCAACTTCTTTCCATCGTAAGGTCAGCTGATGACTGCATAATGTTAACTACCTGAACAACTCCTTAGAAACTGAAGGAGTCTGTGTCCAAATGCAACAAGACCTAGACAATATACAAGCTTGGGCTGAAAAGTAGCATCTAACATTCCTATCACACAAATGCCAAGCAATGACCATTTCCAACTCTCAATCCACCCACTGCTCCTTGTCATACAATTGCATTACCATCACTGAATCCCCCACTAACAACCTGGGGGTTACTACTGACCAGAAACTCAACTGGACTCACCACATAAATACAGTGGCTACAAGAGCAGGCCAGAGACTAGGAATACAGCATCAAGTAACTCACCTCCTGATTCCACAAAGCACTGTCTGCCATCTGCAAAGGCACACATCAGAAGGGTGATGGAATACTCTCCATTTACCTGGATGAGTGCAGCTCCAACAACACTCAAGAAGTTTGACAATCTGGGACAAAGCAAAGCAGTCTGTTTGACTGGCATCACATTCACAAATATTCATTCCTCCACCACTAATGTTCACTTGCAGCAGTATGTACTATCTGCAAGATGCACTGCAGAAAATCATCAAACGTTCTGAGACAGCACCTTCCAAACCTATGGCCACTACCATCAAGAAGGACAAGAGCAGCAGGTTCAAAGGAACACCACCCCCTGCAAGCTCCCCTCCAAATCATTCACCATGCTGTCTTGGAAATATTGCTGTTCTTTCAGACTTACTGGGTTAAATCCTAGAAATCCCGCCACAAAGGCACTGTGGGTCTACCTACAACACATGCACTACAGTGGTTCAAGGAGGCAGCACAGCACACCTTCAAGGGCAACTAGGACGGGCAATAAGTGACGGCTCAGCTAGCGACATCCACGTTCATGAGTGAATTAAAAAAAAAAAACTGAAAAAGGACCTTTGCCCAAGTCTCCTCTTGATGGTTCCACTTTATCTTTCCAATCATAGCCTGATTTTTTCTCCAGCTGTCAAAACATTCATCTATATTTGGCACACCTCAAGACTTAATTACTCTAATATTCTGCTGTCTGCCTCATTACTCTTCACAATTTCAGCTCGTCCAAAACACTGCTCCATATGCCAAATTTTATATCACTTCATACTCCACAAACCTTTTTGCTTACAATCAGGTTCCATCTCCCTTAATGTCTTAAATTTAAAATCCATTAATCAGCTCAAGTACCTAGAAAATAATATAATATATTTTCACAAGTGTATAATTATACAACTTGGAAAGAAAGCCTATCTGTAAAACAGACAATTTTACTAAACAGATCCCAGAAGAGTCATGCCAACCTTTGTGGATTTTGGCTGGTATTTGACTGTACTCATCTCAAAGAAATCACAAGAGATCTAAGCTTCAACGAACATTTCCATTGGCAAACAGAAACACCTTGACAATGTAGGAGCAAATTACTGTAGACGCTGGAATCTGTACCGAAAACAACAAATGTTGGCGATGACATCAGGTCAGACAGCATCCATGGGGAGACAGTAAGCTAATATTGAGTCTAGATGACTCTTCATTGGAGCTGAGGTGAAGTGAGGAGGGGACAGCATTCATGCTATAGTTTGGGGTGTGGGTAGTGGGTGTAGGGTGCTGGTGGAGAAAAGATGTTGATAGTTCAGGTTAAGTGATCAGAATGTGAGAATGGCAGAACAATGGTGTGTCTTCTGCCAGATTTGAAAGCAGAGACACTGGCATGGGAGCAGGGGACAGAAGACATGATTCTCGCATTCCATCACTTAATCTGAACTATCAGCATCTTTTCTCAACCAGCACCCTACATCCATTTCACTACCCCCAAACTAAAGCATAAATGCAGTCCCCTCCAAACTTCATTTCAGCTCTGACAGAGTCATCTAGACTGAAAACATTAGCTTGCTCTCTCTCCATGGATGCTGTCTGACATGCTGTGATCTCCAGCAATTGCTGTTTTCAGTACACCCTGACAATGGTCTCCTGAAGATGTGTCCAGTAGAAATAACCTAACAACGAGAACCATCTAAACTAATGGTGGAGACCTAACAAAAGTTCAGCAAATTAAACCCAGGGTGAAAAAAATGTCTATGAGAAGAAAGTAAGGAGAATGAGTCTGTACTCTTTAGATTTTAAAAGACTTGGCTGACTTGAAGATGCCACAGAGAACAAGGTAGTAAGGTTGGAACTCATTGTGAAGGTCAGTAGCAAGACTGCGGTACTACGTTTCTGGATGCAGCACTAGACAAGGTTTAGCGATCTAACTGGGGAGAAAAGTGGATGGAATAGCATATTCAAGAACACCTTAAAGTGCATCTTTCCCAAATTGCAACTCTACCTAAAATGCTAACTGCTGTACTTCATTCTTCATACCAATTTCCCTTTCAAGCGCGCTCATCCACCTGTCTGATGATTAGTATGGACACTTCGCTTCAAACTATTGCAGGTAAACCTAACCCTTAGTGTCATCCTCTGCAAATGTTGTCTCTGACCATTATCTACTCCATTGTTCTTGTCTCTTTACACATAGCACTAGAGAAAGCAGAGTTCAGAAGATGCCCCTACAGTCATCTCCATTCCTACTGTTGTAGAGACACTGGAGATGAATGAAATCTCAGTGAAGCTGACCTGCTGACAAATATCACACAACATGAAATTTAACATGCACCCGTATTGACTTGATGTCAGTAGCTCTGAAATTTGACAGTATGGAAAATGACAATTTAGCATAATCTTATCTTGACAGTTCAAATTTATGTCTTTTAACCCAGAGGCCCTTCATGTATCGTAACAGGTGTTGCAGGAGGAGGAAGACGACTTCTCAAAGAAAGTCATGTATTTGAAGGTCACTTACACACAGTACTCCAGAACAAATGCACGTGCCTTAGTAGTAGCAGCAAGGCAAGTCTTTGGATTCTCACATGGAATCTCCCCCAGTTAATTGATCTTCCTCTCAACTGCTCTTTGTAGTTTTGCATAGTCAGCCAAAATTTTATTGATACAATGATCACTGTTCCCTAAGTGTTCTAATACTGAAACTTGATCTACTTAGCCTACCTCCTTCTCAAGAACTAGGTCTAGCAGTGCCTCCTTTCCTGTCGAGGCTGAAAAATTCCAAGAAGTGTAGGAATGAGAATGGACATGGTAATCATTGTTAGTTGAAATAGGTGTTCCTCCTAAGAGGAAGTCGACAAATGAAGCCTGGTAGAACGGATCATGTAGCACAGGTAGAACAAGAAGAGTGGAGCTATCAAGACATTTGGAAGATAGGATGATCAGCAAACTTTTAACATTTCCTTTGAATTTCTGACGATTGCAGAGATGAGTAGGGTAATTGTCATGGCAGCAGCAATTTTGAAAAAGGATTTTTCAAGCCTCATAATTATCTAAGTTCCTTTCCTACCATTCGTTCAGGGAAAACTCATGATGGCAACGTGAGGGGATTGGAGTGGGAGTGAGAATATTAATTCGAAGAAAAATACAGAAAGCAACTTTATAAAAATCTGAAAGGGAGTGCACATGTTTTAGAAGTGGAAAACTGCATTCAAAACAGATACCAGATTCAATTTACACTTCAGGTCACTATTAGAAACACACAAACTCAGTCACAGAGATGCAAACATACAGACATGTTACTGCTTTCCAACTATTTTCCAGAGTAATTCTGGTAATACATTTAAGACTTTGGCTACTGGCATGTGCATTAATATTTGGGAAACTTAACCTTTCAATTGCTATCACGTCCACAGAAGTTCTGTTTCTCTATGTCAAGCCATTTGGTAAGTTTTCAGTTCACGCTCTATGATGCTGAAACAAACACTATTACAGTAATTAAGCTGACAATGAAACCAGATAACTCTATTGAGAATTTCAAATAAAATTTTAAGGAGGAATGCAATTAGTGCAGTGAATTCAACCTTATTTCAATGGAATGAAATCTCAACTGTCCACTAAGGGTGAGTGTAATATGAAAGACAGATCTGGGCAGTCTCCATTCAAGTCCAACTGAACAGCAATCTGCTTACAGCACAAATAAGTCAGAGTTAGACCCAAATGTTAACTTCACCCTTTTGCTCACAGACACTGACTGATCAGCTGTTTCCAGTATCTTTTGGATTACAAAACTGTTTCCAATTTGGCACCATTTTATAAACTCTCAAACTAAGCTAGTGCAAGAAATGGAAAATCTCATTAGCTCAACAGTGTTGGGGGTAATGCATTGTATGGCAACATAGTTTGGCCTTAACTTTGCAGATCTTTGTGTTACACCTGATCGAAGAGTATTTGATGCTAAGATTTTTGTCTAACAGAGAAAAAAAAATAGTTCTAAGGGCCAACCCAAACAAATCCCACTTTTCTCAACAGAAAATATTTTTAAAAATAAACAAACATTCTGATACTAATTGTTACAGCACATATTTTATCAATAACTTCAATTTTATATCATCATCTACACAGGTTAATAATTTCATATGAAAACAAACTTTTAAAACCATTTATTTTTCTTTCCTATTGGTGCCTGCTATCTAGATTTAAAAGCTAATCTTTTGACTTAAAAGTCCAAACTATGCAAAATGACCTGGCCTTATCCTAAAATTAATCATATTAAATATTTAAACTTTGGTAGGGCATTCTATTACATGGAACATGCTAATAGTTTGAATAGCACAATAAAGGATTCAATTAACTTTAAAATTAAAACAGAAGTTACTATCTACAAGGTGTGCTTAGCTAATTACTTTTAAAAGCAAAATTGATGCAGCACATCGTTTTGATTGTATCTATGTTGTCACACAATAGACTTGTCTTTTTGAAGTGAATCTGAAGCAGTAAAACAACTGGGGACTATCAGGAAATTACACTGCAGCTGTCAAACAAATTGCCATGTTGGTGCTAAATATCAATATTAAGTGAAAAAGATCCTTGTTATGATTATTAAAGTATTAAACCATACAGAATAATTAACTCACCCTTTGAAAATAGGTCTTCTTGTTCTGTCTTTCTTAACAAAATTTTCCCTTTGTGTTTCTTTGTCCAACTTCGAAGTTATATTGGTTTGTGACTGTTTCAATGAAGCTCCGCGTTCCTTAGCCAACTTCAAATCAAGTCTTTCGTTATTTTGCAGCTGGATGGATTTCTCATGCGGTAGTTTCTGCTTTATGCTCCAGCTGTTCTCATCTTCTGCTGATTCAGAATTGCCTAATTTATCATCTTTGTTTCTTCTTTGATTTTGAAAATGTTTATTTTTTTCTTCAACCTGAAAACATGCAAAAGGGTTTTTTTTTAAATGGTCAACAACCCTTACTTAGTAGCCAAAATCAGTCTTTAAAGTATTACTTAAATAATGCTAGTGTGATTACACAATGTCAGTTTCACAAATTTACTGTACTTTGCAATCAGTATCTACTCTAGAAGGTAGTCATACAAATCACAATGTTTCAATTCCACTTTGTGGAGTGTACAATAAATAAATTTCTTTCCCCTGTACCAACACACAGAGCTTGAGTGCATTAAAACTCCAACCCAACTAACCACCTCAAAAGGATTTTTATCTCATGCATTTAAAAAAATGCATCATGTGGCCCAAGACATCTTCTGTACAATTAGATATTATACTGTATTAGAACAGTATTTCAGAACATATCTCAAAGTTTGTGGGCAAACAAAATAGACTTGAAATTACATCATGAAGTACTAAATTCTGCCCATCATGAATGGGCAAAGATCTTAACCTGTTTAAAGCTAAATCTCAAATCGTACCTGAATTCAGAACTATCATCAAATACTGCGACATTTCAATAACAATTAAAGTGCCTAAAGTAGGATTTTAAAAAGTTACAGACATGGAGTTTCTGTTAAGGCAAATTCAGCAAAATGCATTCACATTGTGACTAATGCCCTACCAGTGTCGCCTGGGGAGTTACACCCACTAAATATATTTGTACAAGCCTGAACATAAATTTTTCATGAATAAGTGCATTTAGTGTAAATCAATTGTTGTTGTTTGGGGAGATGTCCAGGTGTAAGGTAAGTTACAGGAATTTAAAGTGCTACAATCATTTTTCATTTCATTCTGCCCATATTAAGTTAGTGCCTTCGTGAAAATTCATACAGATCTTTGCTCAGAGTGGCAATGCTCTTGTCTTTTTCAAAAATTTTTTGGTAAGATGTGGGCACTGAGAGTTGGCCAAACCTAACTGCCCTTGAGCTGAATGGTTTGCTAGGCCATTTCAGACGGCAGTTAAGAGGCAACCTCATTGCTATGCAGTTAGAGTACCATGTAGGTCAGACTAGGTAAGGATGGCAGATTTCCTTATCCAAAAGGATATTAGTGAATAAGATAGAGACTAATGACAATTGATAATGGTTACATGGTTGTCATTAGGCTAACTTTTAATTCCAGATTTTTATTGAACTCATTGTATCATCTGCCATGGTGGGGCTTGAATCCATTTCCTTGGAACACACTGGATTATTAGTAATTACTACTCCTATACTGCCTCCTATTCTCTTCTTTCAATGGTTTCATTCCGTCCTTTTTCTGTCAGTTTATAGTGGAATATTCAAATGTGCGAAGAGTAATTTAGATAAGGCTTCCATCAATAACTGCACACAACTATGGGCAAAAGTGTTATTTTCACATTTGCACCATGATCTGAATTTTCAGTCGCTTGGAATAACTGATGCCAGGTAAGCTGAAATCTATTCTATGTTTATAAAACAAAAACAAAGCAACAAACCAAGAGAAATCAGAAAGGTAGAGTGCCTACTTTAATCTGAAGGGTGTGATGGTGACATAAAAACAAATAATTCATGAAAGAACAGGGAAAGGTCAATTACTGCAAAGATGAAACTATAGAAATGCAAGATGCAGTGTCAAGTACACAGACAGGGTTCGTTCAAATGTATAAATTAGAAACGCATTTCAAAAATACACACACACATGGCTGCAGTATGTTTCTTTTCATGCTAGGCTACCATTACTTATGATTTTCCAAATAATAACGCCATGCAGCAGGCAAATTGTACATGACTAAACACTAAGCTCCACAACCCCCTCCCCACCGGAATACAGCTTTGAATTAGGTTTCCTGTAACTTCATAGATCAGCAACAGATTTCGCTTTATCTTCAGCCATACATATTGCAATTTTTGCATAACAAATCTTCAATTGTGGCATGGAAACAATTATGGTTTTATCATCATCAAAATCCAATTGATTTAATGTTGAAAAAGTAAGCAACACCATAAAAGTGGTTTAGCATAATGTAAGCAAAATTACAATTAACTCCACTACACTGTAATTCAAACACGTCTACCTGACTCAATGATTAAAAACTTACCCAGCAGAAAATAAACTATCATTTCCTTTCTCAGCACAACAGGAATGCAACAAGTTGAAAAGTCATATCACCAGAAAACCAAGCAATGTTAGTTTCAAGCACACTTCCTGTCAAAGTAGTTGAAATGAGGAAAATATTACAGTCAAAACAGGAGTGCTTACATACATAATGGGGGACTATTACGGAAACATCTACCTCTTTTTGTAGCTGTGCTTTCTTTTTCTCCAAAGCCAGGAATACTACTTTCAGCATTCCTACCTCATTCTTAAATCGTTGCATATCTCCCTCTAATTTTTCATCCAAGTATGGTGTTGCAGCTACTACAGAGGGCAACTGGGTGCTTCTTGGACTGTGCTCCAAATCATCTATTTGGGCCTGGAGATTTCTTACATTAAGATGAGTGGTACAGTTGGACACATCTTGCCTTCTTGTTGGCGAATACTTAACCAATTCTGTACTATGCTTCAGAGGTTTTTCTGAAAAATCAGGATTCTTGTTATAAGAACTTGTTTTATCAGTACCAGTGTGTAATTTAAGTGAATCATCATCTGCATCAGAGTCTATATCAGTAACATAACCAACAACATCAGTTTCTTGTTCCCTTAACACGGACAATTCCACCTTTTTTACATGATATTCTTTAGTTGTCTCCCATGTCAACTCTTTTGACTCACTAACTTCCTCAGGTGCACAAGCATGTCCCAAGCTACTTTCATCGATATTTACTGCTAGTTTTGATTCAGGCGCTCGATGGAATGTTTGATGCTCATCTCTCACATCTGTTGGCTCTGTACACAAATCTTCCAATTCCTTTTGCTCTGGAATTTGAAGAACAACTTTGTGGTCATATTCATCACATCTACTCTCCTCTTCTAGTTCTTCTTCTATAGCAGTGTCTTCATTATTCTTAAGACCTGCAATTACAACTTCTTTATCAGATTCACTGCTCAGGTATTTTCCACTAAAATCTTCTGAATATTCCATAGTAATTGCACCATTCTTGCTTTGTCGAAGTTCTTCAAACCTTTGTTTCAGCTCAACTGTCAGAGTTTCTAGATGAGATGCTATTTCGCCATTTCCATTTTCAATCCAGACTTTCAAATATCTTTTCTCCAAGGCCAGTTCACTCATTTTATTTATCCCCATATCTTCAGCACTGTCGCTACTATCAAAATCATGCCCTTCATGCAGGTTGACTTTTTCAGCCTTTTGGTCAGCCAAAACTTCTTCATGGGTTTGATGTGTAAATTGGGAGCTCTGGGAGGGCAATTTGTCATCGACACTGGTTGTTTCTAAAATATGTTTATCCTTGTGAAAGCATGCGAAACAGGTAGAGAGAGATCAGGCATCATTACCAAATCAATGATCAGTATGCACTGGATTATGCAGAAAAACACTTCATAATAATTAATAAAGTAGTACATTAGATTTGTGAACAAAGAAATACCACACACAACATATTCAATGCATCTATTATTTTACAACCTTAAGAACCTGATACATACATAAATAAAATGTTTCATTTAAATTAGAGATACATGAAGTACCTCATTAGGAGATGCTGGGAATTGGGTCTCAATACTTCTCAATTGATTTCTATCATTTGTATTGTTATCTTCAAATCCAGTACAGTATTTTGCATATCAGCCATGACAATGATTTGCCAATTAATTTCAGCTATATGGAACATTTCCTTATTTTGTTGAATGGCCTTATTCTGTAGTTTACATTTATAATTGTATGCCTGCCTTCTTCATACAATTTAGTATACATGTTAAAAGTTAGTTCAATTTGGCAGGTGGAATTTTTTTTAAACATACAACATTTTTTGACTATTCATTGCCTTCCCCATTTTTACTTAACTTTAAAAGAATAAATCAAACTTTCTTTAATGATTTACTTGTACATGTTGAATTCACCGTATTATTTCTACTTCTGGACAGAACTAGACCCTGTGATCATATCAGAGGTCAGCAGTTCTTTCAAGAATCATTTAACAGTGATAATTCTCCAATGAATAAAGCCATTCTAACATCTCACTGTTTAAAAAAATTATAAAGTAAATAACTCAATGAATACTGGTCACCAAAATGAAATCAAAAGTACTTCAAAGCAGTGTTTTTTTTTTTAAAAAAGACGTACAGTAAAATGCAAAAGCAAATCACTTCATTAAAAAAATTTTTAACAACAACATAATAGGTGCAATTTACACTATTTTACTTGAATACCCACAGTCTTCATTTAACCTATTGCAGTACTATACGATAACACACTTGGTTGGCCCTAAATTAATCAAAAAACCTAATTGTAATAAAGAATTGGAAGCAAATTATTTGAAACTCTTGTATATTTCACCCCCAAGTCAGCAGCCAAAGTACACGGTGCACATTATCATGATATTACTAAGTATCGATACTTAAAGAAAAAGTGTTTGCTAATTTTGAAAGAAAATGTTACAGTGCAGAATGAAATCAAGAAAATGTACACTTGGGTGCATCCTTCCATAGCAACGTTATATGCCTAAAACAATAATATACAGCAATAAAAAGTTAATAAAATCAAACATACACTCTACGAAAAGGTATGTTTATTGGAATAATGTTCACTGAGAGACCCTTGAGCCACATACTGATCCTCCTGTTCATTACCTCAGTCAGAGTTACTACAGCACGGAAACAGACTCCAGTCCAACTCATCCATGCTGACTAGATATCCTAAACTGATCTCGTCCCATTTGCCAGCATTCGGCCTATATCCCTCTAAACCCTTCCTATTCAGGTACTCATCCAGATGCCTTTTAAATGATGTAATTATACCCAACACCACCACTTCCTCTGGCAGCTCATTCCATACACACACCACCCTCTGTCTTAGACACTTCCACTTCCTCCCTCCCCAATGAAGCCCTTCTCATTCTGCCATTCACTTCATCCCTCTCGTCCACATGAAGTGTTCAAGAGAGGAAAACTGTGGTGGAAGGGTCAGGAACAGCGAGGTAAGAAGAAACAGTAGGTTATGAAGAATCAGTAGCAATCTTTGGGTTAGTTGGGTTAAAGGAAAGCAATATGTTTTCTCAATGAACCTCATAGGTTCAAGAATATCAGAAAACATAGCTTCAGTTGGCATGCCTTTTTGGCAACATACTGGGATAGCTGCAAAGTAGCGATAGAAGTAACTAATGCGTTCCTATTCTATCTATCTTCCATTTTCATAGAATCAGTGTGGAAACAGACCATTCGGCCCAACAAGTCCACACTGTCCCTCCGAAGAACATCCCACCCAGACCCGTTCCCCTACCCCTACATTTCCCATGTCTAACACACCTAACCTAAACATCTCTGGGCACTATGGGCAATTTAGCATAGCCAATCCACCCACTCTGCACATCTTTGGATTGTGGGAGGAAACCGGAGCAACTGGAAGAAACCCACACAGACACGGGGAGAATGTGCAAACTCCACACAGACAGTCGCCTGTGGCTGGAATCAAATCTGGGTTCCTGGCACTGTGAGGCAGCAGTGCTAACCACTGAGCCACCGTGCCGCCCCAGAATATTATCTGGGTCTCTGGATTAACAGTCTAGCAATAATACCACTCGGCTATTGCCTCCCCTGCATTATGCACAAAATACTTGCTTTATTTCTCAATCTAAACAATTAAAAAATGCTACTTGTGACCTGATTAAAATTTTCCAATAGCCCCACTGTCTAGAAAAATAGCAAGTGGCAAACAGGACATCCAGACGGGAATGTAAATACAGTAAGTTCTATAACAGCTCTCATAATTCATTCACACCATAATGGTTTTGTCTTATGATACTAATACCACGCGATGCTACATTTTCTGACGCAATACAAATTTTTTAAAAACGTTTGTTAACAAGCAAGCATTCTCCACATAGGTAATAAATAGAAAAAAATCATTGGAACTTTAATTCAAGTACACAAAGATCCAGTGGATGCATATCTGTGAACCCAGATGCATCAAAAGTAGAATCTAGCAATTACTGAAAAGATAGTTTGTAACTTGAATAGTAAGGAAAATAGCTATAAAAGAAAAGCCCCGTTGTAGTTATTGCAATTGGTTAGCAAAATTCATTATCTATTTGAGAGTTGTGCCAATATTACTTTCAAATCTTGGTTGGTCATCAGGGTAAAAATTAACTCTCTAATTGCCTCACTATTTAATATTGCACTCAATCATTAATTGCGGAAGGTTCAATCAATGCAAGCTTGCGCATCTGGTTTAACATATGGAGTTTATATCAAGTTACAAACAATGCACTATTTCTGGATGGAAAGTGCTACACCTAGATTGAGGTAATACAAACAGATACTTTCGTAAATTGTATTTTAAATTACTGGATAATTTATTTTACGTAAACCATACAGTGTTTCTATTTGCAATTTAAAAAGAATTCATTTTTGCATTTTAAAAAATTCAGCAAAATGCAATACCAAATTTGCATACAGAAAGCTAATAAGTTTACTATCACAGTCATTGAGGAGTACCTCACCTTCTCCACTTTCCAGTCATATTTCTCTTTTTCATCATCTTCATCTTCTGATAGAGATATTTTCATGTCAAACTCTGAAGGTACATTTACAAATGTATCAATAGCTTAATAGATACATTTTTAAGAGGTGCATAAATGTCTCTAGTCGATATGAAACAAATTGCGATTGAAGCAGACACAACTGAGAAATTAAATGTGCCACCATTTTCGTGTAGTTGGGACAGACAAGTATTTTGCAGCCCACAGCTGAATTGCTGACTATATTATTAAATAGCAATTTAACTGATATTATTGCAGGCACAAAAATCAGCAAATCGTCTGTTACTGATAATAATAAATGTATTTTAGGAAACAGCACAAGGTCAATATTCAAGTCACAGCTATTAAATTCTGGAAAAATAGATTAACTTTTCTTTGCCAAAGGAAAGATGAGTGAAGATCAAGTGTGTTTCTTTTTACCTTGTTGGCCAGAAGTTTGCACTTTTGGATTCTCATGTTCTACAGGCACCCTTTTCCCCATGGCAATATCCTTTTCCTCTGAATTCCAATCAGTTTCTAATTTGAAAGAATGCAACAAGTCAAATAAAAAGAGTTATATTGTTTAATTTTCAACTTGAAAATACACAAATTATTCAAAATCAGTGATGAATGAACACTTTAGGTTAGATACAAGATTTTCTTTTTGTTCCACAAAAGGCAATTTATTCAGTAGGCAACTAGCCGTAGTGCTTAACACAAATTGGAAAGTCAAAATCCTGTGATATTTCTCTGGGTCCAAAACATGACCCAACAGAAAATACCATCAATATGATAACATTAGACAACCAATTATGCAAAATCCTGTTTTGACAAAAATAACAGTATATAAATTTTACCAATGTTGAAGGAATTAGTGATAAAAACAGAAAATGCTGGGTATACTCAGCAGATCTGGCAGCAGAGCAGCTACTTCAGATACAAGTTCACAACTGTTAATTTTTTCTCTCTCCACAGATAATACCAGACCTGCTAAGTACTTCTAGCATTTCTAACATCCTCAGTGTTTTGCTTCACTTTTGCACCAAAAGTGAATTACTCACACTTCTTCATTCTATTCCATATTTGAATGTACTTTGAATGGAGTCATACCACTGCTTTAAGAACAAAAGCAACAAGAATAAATTGGTCCCTTGAGCCTGCTCCCTCAGTGAACACATTTGGAGCCGATCTTGCGTCTTAAACCCACTTTCTTGTTTATTCCCTATAATTATTTGATTCTAAGCAGCCAAAAATCTGCCCATCTCAGCTTTGCATGTACTTGATAATGGAGTGTCCATTCCAAAAATGGACATCACGTGAAGAAATTCCGAAATGACTACTCCCTTGTCCTGAGGCTATGGTCCTAATCTGACTTGATATAGTATCATCTAATTTTCAACGTCTTTTAAAATTCCAATCCCACAATTTACAGTAGGTATCTTTTGACTGCATTCAAACGTTTACCTCACAATTCTATAACAAAAATTTGTGATCTCGTTTGCTTCTTGAGATTACCTTACATTGAAACAAATTCATTGTAAAAGTGACAACACTGAATATGTTTGAATCATAGAATCCCTAGTGTAGAAACAGGCCCTTCAACCCAACAAGTCCACACTGACACTCTGAGCAGCTCACTCTGACCCATCCCCCTAACCTACACATCCCTGAACGCTACGGGCAATTTAGCATGGCCAATCCACCTAGCCTGCACATCTTTGAACTGTGGGAGGAAGCTGGAGCACCTGGAAGAAACCCATGCAGACATGGGGAGAATGTGCAAATTCCACACAGACAGTCGCCTGAGGGTGGAATCGAACTCGGGTTCCTGGCGCTGTGAGGCAGCAGTGCTAACCACTGAGCCACCGTGTCACCCATAAATGTGTTTGCATTTAGGACTTCTCATTAGTGTCTAATACTCAAGTATAAAACAAAACATCACCTTACATACCATTTTTATTTTCCAATTTAACTGATGTCATATTTTTGAGTTCAGGCTCAGGAGAACCTTGATATTGCACTGAAGGATGTGCAGTCAACTTAGTTTTCAATGAATCAGGTGACTGTGACGTTCCATGGATACACGTGGTCTCTTCAGAATTTGACTTTGGTTTGCTTTCGAGGCTTTTTGATGATTCGGCTGAGTGGAATGTTGCTTTGCCATCATTTGTAATTGGTTGCACTTGTGGCACAGAACTAAACAGGTTAGGTGATACGTTTTTGCCTGAAACACTGAAAGAGTCCCAGTCTGAGGCATCTATAAAAGAAACATCCATATCTTATTGCCAAACTTTATAAACTCAATTTCCACTCCAGCATTTGTAAATAATGAGGTTTATACTGCTGCAATCTGGAAGTACGCCACATTTTAAAGGTATGCCATCTGAAGCACCTGTCAGCTCCGGCAAGCTGTTCAAAAGAAAGAGGTGGGTTCTGCTGTCCGGAATGACATTCCTCGCTCAATCACTATCATCAAACACAGATCAAAATGGGAACAGAAACATGCTGTGTGTTCCTTGTGCCTGTTTCACCATTCGATTTGACCGTGGTTGATCTATACCTCAACTCCACTGGGATGACTTCGTTCCATATCTTTTAATGCCCTTATCTAAAATAATCCTAGTTCTGAGATTTTCAACTGGCCTTGCCTTAGCAGCATTTTGGCGGAAAAAAACATGCTCCAGATTTTCACTTTTCTATGTATGAAGGGGCATTCCCTGGCATCACCCTTGAATGATTCAGTCTTGTTCTGGATTCTTCAACAAGAGAGAACAGCTTCTCTTTACACCCCCTGACAAATCCAAACATCTTAAAACACTTAATATACTCGCCCCTTAATCTTGTAAACTCAGGGAAATGGGATATTTAATTCATTGTTTGCTTAAACCATGTGCAAGATGGCTGCCACATATACTTGCATGAGTCAACAGATTTCGAAATAATACATTGAGAAAAACAGTCTGCATATTTCAGAGGTATAAATTATTGTATAAATGCGCACCTTTGTTCAAATAGAAGACCAGCATTGATTCCAGTTTGGTATGATTCTCTCATTATTTAATAAATTACAGCAATTGTCATTTCCTTAATTTGCTACCTCACACCCTGAAAAAAAAAGTTTCATGTATTAAAGTGTAGAGCTGGATGAACGCAGCAGGCCAAGCAGCATCAGAAGAGCAGGAAGGCTGATGTTTCGGGCCTAGACCCTTCC